AACATTAGAGATATATTTAGTACCACTAAAACATTTGCAGAAAAAGATGCAGCCATGTGACTATCCAAATCTAGTACTTTTAACAAGCCTGTTATATACGAAAATATATGACCACTTTACAGATACATTTTATTAGCAATATCATGTGACTACCTAAATCAAGAATTTTTACAAGAAAAACTAATAGACAAAATGACGAACACAATATATTCATTTTTCAAAAGATAAATAAATAGTGTGAAATAAAGTGGATGAAAATTGTAACTTCAGAAAAACTACCCAGATTCACATGCAGAATACAGGCGAGCTTGCTCCTCTCGACTTCCTTCATCAATTGACCACCAGCCCAGTAACCTGATAGCATAAATGGGCCCGGCCCTTAGGAAAATAGAGTAATTCTAAAGGGGCCTGAGGCTCATGTAATTAAAATTACAGTTTTTAACCTCGATCCACGACGCAAAAACCCCATATAATCATAAGTGGATGCAGGTAGTCTAAAAGTGCTTCCGGTATCAACATCATCATGCAGTAAGAGGTTGATTTTCTCGCAAAGCCTGTATATTGCAAACAAGAACCCGGCTCCTTGCAGCAGCAAAAGAGGAGAAAACAAAAGTGGAATCGGAATATATTTCGCACCTGGCGGAGTTCCCTGAGACAAAAATACCTTTAGTAATGAAACCCTACAAACAACTTGATTAAAAGCTATTTCCAAAAGCAGCCGTGAGGCCTCAGTTCAAAAAGATATCTATGGGAACTTCAAAGGGAAAAATTAGGCTCTCAAATGAAAATGAAAATTAATGCCTGGGCCGAGTAAAAAGATGAATGACAAAAAATATAAATCGGGATTGAGAGTTTTGAAGAACTGACACACAAAAAATATCATTTGAAAGGAAAAATTAGAGCCCTACTGAAATTTGCCTGATTCGGAAAGGATTTTCAGCTGAGATGAATCTGAATCAACCAAGATTGATCAAGAAATAGCTTAAAATCAACGCATAAGGGTTTGATTTCCATATTACAACAAGCTCAATAGAATTGACATAAAGGATCTGCAATATTTAGTTACAAACACAAAAGTCCAAATGAAGCCTAAAATGTACTCATCATAGTGAAAGATAATAGACTTTTCTCTTTTTTTTTTATATATAATTATTGCAATAAGACCAAAACCTCTAGTACAGTGTAGTTGACTATACTAACAAGATCCTTTTTTGGCATACCTCCAAATACATGAAGAGCATGACCTGAAAACCGACAAATGGGATCTTCATGACATGGCCCCCAATGTCGTGCAAGCTACATATTCTATTATCTTGATGATCTTCTGTTGTAGATACCAAGAAGCCATTATTCCAGCTAAGGTGTCTGAAACTCATTGAAGATGACGATGCCGCTGTTAGATGCGGGCGTCTATGAATTGCAGGATTGTACCACTTTGTACAAATGAGAAAGGCAAAGCACTCAGCAACACTGAGGAAAAAAAATAAAACATCTGTTATAACAGCACTAGAGTTGACAGTGATTTTTATGATTGTTGGAAAACAGGATGGAATAAAGACAAACACAATCATCAAGTGGCCCAGTTAGCTTTTCGAAAGTACAAATATAACCCTGGAGATCCCCCGAAATGTTAACTCAAAACGTGTTGAACCTAAGAGGTAGGCTGCAAGGCTCGTACGATACGGATGTTGACATAGCAAAATTTTGTGCGTATAAAAATTATCATTGGTTTTGAATCAGGTTTGGTATTTGACATAAATAATTTATTTGCAATTTTCTCTTTCCCAAATCTCATCTTACTAACCGATATTGTTGATTCTCATTTATTTTGTATATTAAATACCATAATTTTTTATTATATTTTAAATGTTAAACAACTTTTGGTATTTATATTCCATTTTTCATATATGATTTATCAATTAATCATCNCAGAGTTGTAAATAATACTTGTGTTAGACATATATAATTTTATAAATGTAATTAAAATTATTATCTTTCTTGACAATTTGAGGGTAAAAACGTGTGTCATTTTAAATAGGTATCACTTTATTATTTATTCATTATTTGTTGTACATCTATTTATTCATTTTTTATTATACAATTTTCCAAACACCTAGGTGTCGTACTAGTATGTTAATATTTACAGACAGATGATGTGCACAAAAATACAGAGCCCAAGGGAGAATCTTTTAAAAGAACAATATCATCCTTTTTTCTTGGGAATACAGTTCAACCTTGGTAATTTTTCAGAAGTTATTAAAAAAGGGAGAGTTCTACATACCCATAATTGATGAATAGATCCCACCAACCAAGAGCGGCTACGTCACCTATATTTCACCCACAAAAACACAAAGTAACAACCGTTCTCAGGACAGTATTAGGATATCTAACTAAATTCCAACCAGATAAACTTTAGCAACTATTGCTTAAGACATTGTAACAAAAGAAGAAGAAAGAATGACTTTTTCTTTTACCAAGAAAAAAATCACTTAATTCTCCAAAGTACTTTTTGTACTTTATTTCTGTTCCAATCTCATAGAAATTGAGTGACATGTCAGCTGATCTCTTACAGCTTCTCCGCAAGTTGAGATGATAAAAGAGAATAAGCAATAAAAATTTTGGGAGAAAAATGAAAAAAGAGAAAACTAGTCGAAATTACCGCATAGCTTCAGAAGCGTAAATGTTGTTGCAGCAATGAAAAAGACCATCGAAATTGAGACCCAGAAATGCTGTAAAGAAGATCACCAAACATCGACTTGACTGAATGCAAACATAATATGATATATATCTGGAATATTTGCTTTGTTTGGCAATCGGCATAACTAATCATCTAAGAGCTATCAGGTTTTACAATGATTGAAGTGCAACTAAATGGCAAATTAATCAACAAAAAAAAGGAAGAATAAATAGAAAAAATGATAATAGAAAATATATCTGACTTTTCACTGGATAATGTGGAAAGTTAAAGTACAGTCATGACCTTGTTTAATTAGGCAAAGAGTGGCGGATATATAATATTATTACAAGAAAAACTACTGAAAAATAGTTCCTGAATCCACCATAAGCATTAAGGCCTATTAGCTCAGTTGGTTAGAGCGTCGTGCTAATAACGCGAAGGTCCCATGTTCGAGACCTGCATGGGCTATTGTCCATATATTCTCCTTTTTTTTTTTTGTTAAATTTTCTTCTTCTTTGTTCTTTTTTTCTATTTTAATGTTTATTTTCTACCCCATTGTTGTATAACTTTTGTATCCCCGGTGTTACCCCTCAAATAATATTTACATTAAGGCTCCGTTTGTTTTGAGGGATTTGAAATCCCTTGATTTCAAAATTTTTGAAATATAAATTTTTTTACTTGCACACTCCAAATGTGTTGAAAATATTATAAAAATCCTTCAAAATAATGACTAAAAAACATCTAGCATGAATTTGAAATCCTCCAACTTCCATTATCATCCCAACATGCATGAACATTTGAACTTGTAAATTTGAAATCTATGGATTTTAAATCCCTCAGTAAATCCCTCAAAACAAACGGAGCCTAAGAGCATTTAATTTCCTAAATAGTGTCTAAATGTACAAGATCCTCAATGTTCCATTTTCTAATTCAAAACTACTGGGACAAATATTTACAGCAGACAATATTATAGATATTGGAATATTTGACGTAAAACTTACAGGAAGAGTTTCCCATATTGCTTCGTCAGTAATATTTTCTTCTTCTCCAGGCATAAGAGCCCTACACATCCTGAGCAGCAGCAGAAGAAAAAAAANAGCAGAAGAAAAAAAAAAAAAAAGTAGTATTAATTGCATCTTGAGTCTCATGCATGTGTCACGACTATTAGTATATTACAAAAACATTCTTAACAATGATAGGAAGTATTACCTAATGTTATCAACCAGAATTGCAATTTCTAGTGCAATCAGAGGCAAAAATACAATCTTCAAATTTACAGCTGCACATTTATCACATCGGAAACAAGATAAGTTTAGCACATCTTCGTCACAAATGATGAGTTTCGAAGAAGTGAGTTATTGTAGCTGAAGCAAAAAAAAAGTAGCTGAAAAGTAAGAAATTGGTTGTATGTATGCATGCGCTCATATATAGATCAGTGAATAAGAGTAAAAGTCAAACCGGAAGCAGAATAAAAAAATTAAATTAACTTTCACTGATGTGAAAATTATGATTAAATGTGACAACCAGAGGTTGGCAATTGAAAGCTCCAGTATTATTTTTCTTTTGTGCGTTTCCAATGGCTTTTCATGTAATAGAGGGATTAGGAAGTTTACCATAGCTTTTCTCAAGATGTACACAAAGGAGAAGTTCAAATGCAACAAGCAATGGGGTAGCCACAATGGCATGAAATGGTGCCCACTGTTGATAAAATGATAAGATAGATACGCTTATTAATTTAGAAGATGAAATTTTCAAAATTTCTCCATGATATTGGATAAAATCAAATGGGAGTATTTTTTTCGTACATATCGGCCATGAGGCATAGATGGGGCAGGCAACGAGAATCTGCCTCTTGCCACGACCGCGTGGAATAACCAGAGTGGCGAAAATATCAACCTACAATAATTGCAAGAACTATTTGGTTTAAAAATATAAAAAGCATGATCCAAAAATAGAACTCATTCTTCCTCAGTCATACTTCCAGTCAAAATACCAGGGCCTAAATGTTAGAAACAAATATAACAAGTGATAAAAAATAATAACAAGACAGATCAAATTGGGTGTGTGATGTTTACATGGGAACAAAACGGAGCCAAAAGAATGTTGTTTCGCCGAACTAGGGAAAAAGAATAACGAAGAAAATTATTTCTTTTCCTAATAATTAACCATACACAAATTAAATAGGTATGAACCAAGCAAACATAGATAGTTGGGTCTGTTCCATGCGGTACGTACATTGAATTTTTTCACCTAAGAACAGAATGTATTTAGAAAAAAGCTTACTTTTCTCCAATATACAAAAACTATGCAAGTTGAAAAAAAAAGTTCTCTAATCTCTACCTACACATATGACACCAGTCTCTACCTTTATAATAGCCATACTTACTGTTAAAGCAACAAGCATTAGTTGCCAAACCTATTGGAAAATTGAGACATAAGGTGAAACGACATCTACTTAGAGGTCCTAAAATGATGATCTTGTATTCTTATCTAAATTTCCATGACTTAGCTGAAATGTGTGCCTGTTATGAATTATGAAGACATTATAAAAATAACTAACCAACGTATTTAACCTCCCAAACTCAGAGAGCCATGTTTTCAAAGCATATTTTAGCAAAACCATCCAAAAGATTTCAAGAACTATGATTCTAGTTAAAAATAATCAAATACAGAGTCAATTCATACTAAGTGTACCAAAACATAACCACATACTGTCATAGCAACATCGACAAAATCGTATCAAGAAACACAATCAGCAATTCAATCAGGTAAATAACATAATTAGCGCAGCTCTCCAGGGAACAGATCCTTGAACCACAATTCAGCAACACAGGTTTTATATTTGAAAATCAATGTCCATTCTTTCAATCTAAGAATCAGCAAATTTAAAACCTAGCATCTAAGTAAACATAAAAGACCTCTACAACAGAAATTCATTCCTTGAACAAGATCTAGAAATATATTAAACAAAACCCCAAAACGAGAAAAGAAAAACTTTGGGGAAAAAGAAACACAAACCACCAAGAATAGTTAAAAGCATGATGAAGCTTGAGGGATAGCATAATAGTGAAGAGGAAAAGCAATCCATGAGCTACAACAACTTGGAGAGACTTGAAAACTCTCCTCCAACTCATTGTCTTCCTTTTGTGACGGATCAATAATTTACAGCTTGAATGCCCCAAAAACACACAATCCCTGAACTGCGCGCATAAATCTCATACCCATAAGATATAACCTTAATACAAGAAAAGTTCAGTGTTCACAGATTGAACTTTAGAGAAAAAAAAAATAACGGAGGTTTAGAGGCGAGGAAAGAGAATTATTAGGGACAAAGTAGCTCTTTCAGACAACGTTGAAGACCGAATAACGCTGTTAGCGAAGATAGGCAATAATTGTTATTTATTCTTATTGGGGCGCAATGTCCAATTTGACCATGTCTACAATGTTTTGGNTAATATATAAAGAGAGAATGATAGTTGTTTGAAAAAATCAAGGAGAAAATCAGCAAAAAAAATATTTCAATTCCCGCCTAAAATTTAGCATAATTTTTGGTGAAAAAATGAATAAGCTCCCGCCCATGCATTTCGAAAATTTTGGAGATTTTATTTATTGATTTAAACTTATTTGGACTTATCTATTTCTACAATCCAATTTTTTTAATCCAAATTTGAAGGAAAAGATCAGCACAAAAGGAAAAAGGAGAAAAAAAGGAAAGATAATCTCTCTCTTTCATTCCCAAATATTCCCGGCCAAAATCGCTGGCAAAGCACCAATCAGAAAGATCTGGCAGCACTACAACTTCGACGGTAGCCTCACCCAGCTCGAGCTCGCCACACTCCTCTGGTCTCTCGGCCTCAAGCCCTCCGACGACCAGATCCACGCCCTCCTCGCCAACAACAAAGGCGCTGTCGAGCGAGACCCAATCAGCAGTCGGTGCCCCTCTCCTGCGCGGCCTCCGTCGGCTCCAGCACGTCGTCCCAGAGCCGTCGCCGCTATGCGACGGGCAGAACCTAGATTCCGGAGGTGAAGGACGATGAGGTCTTGATTAAGGTTGTCGCCACCGCCTTGAACCCGGTCGATTTCAAGAGGAGATTTGGATATTTCAAGGCTAATGATTCTCCTTTCCCGGTGAGCCATCCACTTTCTTTCTTTTTTCCCCCGTAATTGATTTATTTCTTCTTTGTTTTTTAATTTCTTGGGCATGTGTTGCTGCTAGCCTGCTACTCGTGGATTAAAATATTGTCAAGTTCCAATTTTTCAATCAAATTCAGGGGATGTTTGGGTTTTTTAGTGTTTTCTGATGTAGTTGCTGGTTAAACTTGTAGGAAATGTTTAGATTTAGTTTAGGAATTGGCCAAAAAAAATGGATCTATTGACAGTAAATTGGATGATGCTCAATTTATTTATTTATTGCTTGCAGACTATTCTCGGTTATGATGTGGCTGGCATCGTCGTTAAAGTAGGGAGCAATGTGAAGGAATTTAAAGAAGGAGACGAAGTTTATGGAGACATTATCGAGAAGGCAATTGATGAGCCGAAATAGCTCAGCTCCTTAGCCAAGTACACAACTGCTCAAGAGAAGCTTTTAGCTCACAAGCCCGAGAATCTCGATTTTGTGCAAGCCGCTGCCTTGCCTCTTGCCCTAGAGACAACTTATGAAGGGCTAGAAAAGTACGATTTTTCTAAGGGCAAATCAATACTCGTGCTCGGTGGAGCCGGTGATGTTGGGTAATTCATCGTTCAAGTAAAGTTCAAACTAATAAAGATAGATCTTGAGGAGCTCTTTGTGTTCATTATTCATTTATATTGATAATTCTATGCAAAAGCTTAATTGAGATGCAGCCATAGGTTCGAACGTATGAGAATTTATTCATCGATTAATGCAGATTTCCAAACACGTTTTTGGTGCGTCTAAGATTGCAGCTACAGCCAGCACGTCGAAGTTTGAATTTCTGAAAAGTTTGGGGGCCGATTTGGCAATTGACTACACTAAGGAGAAGTATGAGGATCTGCCTGATAAATTTGACTTTGTTTATCTGTTGGTAAGATACTTAACCTCACACTTATATGCTATAGCTAACCGTCAAGGGTCGGGAGAGGCACGATATGAACCAGGTGTTCGAGAGGTGGATGGAGGTGATGTTGGGAGCCGAGTTTCGGAGTCTGGAGATTGGGTCCTTTACATGGCCATTGTTGATATTAGGTCGGCAGAGGCTAGAGCAGCACAGATGGTTCTACGCGTAAACTGATATGTTGTTTGATTTTGCTGATATTAGGTCCTTCACATGGCCATTGTTGGATTTCAATGAGATTTCCTTTGAGTTGTGGCTTTGAGTGATTTCAGGTACCTGAACCAGCAGAGGTGATTGTGGGGCAGAGAAAAGGAAAGCCTCTGCCGAAGTTGGTATCAACTCCATTGATTTTCAAGGAAGACATGGTCGACAGACTTTTATGTCAGATGCTATTGTTAAGTTCATGGATTTTTATATTTCAATTTTTTTTCATAAGCAGATAGATTTATTATTGTTTTGTGTTCGGCAAATAACATTTTCATCTTATTCATGTCAACGATGTAACACTTTTGTTGCTTGGTTGCTTGCATACAGATCTACTCATGTCTGGATGCATACGAGTATTTTATGTAATTCTTGATATTAACAGCACATTTTTGTGTTTCCCAAATAAAAAGTAAAAGTATGTCAACTGGGCCCTCAGGATAGCAAGTGGTCATGCAAAGCAAGCACCTTTACCGTTTGTTAAATCTGTTGAGGTAGGTTTGTCTGAAATAGATATTTAAGAAGTCATTTTCTTCTTAAAATGCATAAACTTACGATAGATATCTTCATACACAATCTGATTAAAGAAATAAAGCAAAAGAACAAGTGATAATACTTCTTTTGAACAAATTAAGTGGTTTCATAATTTGATACTTGGTAACTTGATAATACTTCTTTTACCAAAATTTAAAAAATTTCGCCTAAATTAATGTAATTAATGTACATAATCATTTTGGTTAAATATTACGGCTATTACCTTTATTAGTTGCATGATTTAAATTTGGAATATAATATATTGATAAAACTTGCAGCTATTACCTTTATTAGTTAAATGGTTTAAATTTGGTATATGATATATTTAAAAAAATAATAAGATTCTTATTTAAAATTAAAAATAAAAAAAATAATTATTCATAACTTACGGGTCAATATTAACTTGGACGTAAACGAAATAGTCGATTATGTGTAGTTTAATAAATTACTCAATAACTTACGGGTCAATATTAACTTGGATGTAAACGAAATAATCAATTATTTACAGTTTAATAAATTAGTCAACTACTTAATCCTTTTTATTTGAATAGTTTATACAAAAAACAATTATTTTAAGTAATGAAACAATATAAATTTTATATCTATACTTATTATTCACATAGATTGTAAAATATATATAACATTTTACCAAAATAACTATTTTATTAAATCACATTATAGTCAAATCGAATTTCTGAATAAAAAATTTGAAATGATACTTATTTTGAAATTAATATATAATTTATTATCAGTTATGTGCACTACACGAGTTGTGTACTAATTTTAAATAGACATTTTTATGTAATTTTATACAATAAACGTTATATAACATTTTCAATAAATTATTTTATGTAATCGTAATTGTATTATATATTAATTCCATATTTTTAATTTATAAATATTACTAATAAGAACTTTTAATTTATAAATATTAAGGAATATTTCTTACCCGTGCACTGCACGGGACTCATACTAGTTTGAGTCTTAAATGATATGGACAAACCCAACTAAGAAAACCTCAAAAACTTTTCAATGCAAAAATAAAATACTAGGTCTAGACTAAATAGCAACCAATCAAAACACGCCTAAAAAAAATCTTTCGTCTACCTTCTTCTTCGTTGTCGCGCTACCTTTTCTTTTTTCTTCTTCAATCAACCGACTTCGTTAATCGCTAGGACAATAAAAGGCAAATTGGAGGAGGATATGTGCAAGCCTGTTAGTAAATTCATACATCTTATCTTCTTCTTTTTTTTTTTATTAGACAAGTTGATTAATAGGTTGTTGTTTTATTGTTTCTGTATTTTTTGTGGGAAGTTTGCTGCTTTTTTGTAGTAAATATTTTTCATGGTCTTTGCGTGTGTTGGTTTTGAATCCTTAGATGATTATTTTGTTTGTTTATTGGTTTTTGGTTCTATATTTGAAGTAAGAAACTCTGATTGTTGTATTTGAATTATTGTATGATTCTTTTATTTGGTTATTGGTTCTTGATTTTACATTTGAATTAAGAGCCTTTGATTGGTCTTTGGTTATATATTTGATTATGTTTCAATTCTGCTCTCAAGTTTTCTCCCCATATTTGGTTGGCACAACAATTATTATAATTTTTTTTTCAGGCAATAAAAGGCAAAAACAATGTCTACTTTAAACTATGAATCGGATTCTCATGGCTCATCCTCAAGCGACAACGAATTTTCGATTACAAGAAAATTACTAGATGAACCCATGAACGAAGATTGTTCAAACACAACTCTGAACAATAGTATGCTTCATACCACGCTTCAGGTTTCTCTTTTGTTGGCAAAGGACAAACATGGAAATCAAAATTCTGATAGACGTTACATTCGACGTGAAAGAAAAGAACGACATGATTTAATAATTAGTGATTATTTTAGCAGCGATGAGGAGTTGAGTATTGTTGATGAAAAGTTTTATTTTCAGTATACTGCAAGAATTATTTATGCTGCTTCTAAACTGCAGTAATATAACATGTTGGAAGTATTTGCATGCTTACAATATTCTTTTTTATGACTAAGGTGACCAATCTATTGTTTTCTGATTTCTATTTCAAGAAATCACTTCTTGGTGATGCTGCTTAGACTTCTGCAGGTAGATCATTAAAAAGATCATTAGTAGATGAGTCATTTAATAAAATGTCATATCAAAGATCAAATTTCCCTTTTTTCTGTTATGCAAAAAATTTCAGCTTCTCTTGGAACTTTCTTGTACTGCTATGAAGTTTTGATTGCGTTTTCAATATTGGTAGATTATTTACAAGGCACCTTTAATCAAATATTACCACTTATTCTAACACAAACTGAATAATCAAGCACCATGAGAAAATCGAGGGTGATACTAAAAGAAAATTCATTTTTTTTCTTACTCCTTTCTTCTTAATTCTGATATTGATGAATGCAAGGAGAAGAAAGATTGTCAATATCTTGAATGCAGCTGCAAGAATACCTTTATGACCTGTGTGCATATTTTATATACAAATATAGGTTGAGTGTAAGTTTTTACATTTATAACATCTATATCTATTTGTCATTAGTATTTCAAGTATAAGTGTATAATACTGAAATTTTGTATTTGTTGGAAAGTTAATTATAGAACCACCCCTAAAGTTTAACTTAAACTAAAAAAATAAAGTTATTTTAAGAAACAAAACTATCCTGATATTTGCCTTCCTTCTACAAATTCCACTCTCAAAAGTGTATTTACTCGGTGAAATAGAAAAGTTCAATGTGTGTGCTTTTTATTGCAGGATTATGCAATTAGGCTAAACATCAAAGTACATAAATCAATAATCATATTATTGAAGCAAAGTCTCTACAAAAATATAAATCACCACAATATTTCAACTTGATCAATTTAAGTGTCCAAATATATCATTTTTCAACAAATTACAATATCAGAAATGTTGTAAACCAGAAAATGAAGGCACACTGTTACTAGTAATAATGCTATTATTAGAATATTATACAGTGTCTATGTTAGGATCTCTAACTCAAAACTCAGTTCTCCAACAAGCCCAACATACAAGCCCAAATGGGGTTCCATTCTAAAACCAATTGGCAATAGAAGGAGTAGCCCACCAAGCTTATATATTGACTTGGAAATTTTTAATCTTTCGATGTGGGATTGGGTTTGCACACCCAACAAACCTCCCCTCAAACACAAGACCACATTGGGCCTCCCCTGGAACGAAATTCATACGATCCGACCATCTTGTACCGCCGTTATCATTCACAGAACCCGCCGCCTGACCACCCTCCCTTTTTCGTCAGGAAGACTTTCGACACAAGGCACACGGGTCTACCGGCCCTTCCGGCTCCACGGGGAACATGCCACGTCATCCACATCGCAACTGGGCTACCAACTGTGGCTCTGATACCAATTGTTAGGACCTCTAACTCAAAACCCAGTTCTCCAACAAGCCCAACATACAAGCCCAAATGGGGTTCCATTCTAAAACCAATTGGCAATAGAAGGAGTAGTCCACCAAGCTTATATATTGACTTGGAAATTTTTATCTTTCGAAGTGGGATTGGTTTGCACACCCAACAGTCTAGTCTAAATAGGAAGTGTCGTGAAAAAAAATAGTAAGAATAAAAAAAGTATATCTATTAATCTATAGACACATTTATGTCCAAATATCTCCAGTTCCCAAATGGATCTCCTTCAGCTTACCCAAATACCTCAGCAAAAGATGCTCCAGAAGTGTAAAATGAGTGCTCATCATTCCAAATCAAAGCAATTCTCAATCAGCAAGAATTTGAGATAAAAACAATATAATAGAAACATAGTAGACACTAACTTTCATAAAACTCAAATACTCCATTAGATAATTAAACAAATCATAGAAAAATGTACTAACACACTAAGTAGTTTAATTTGCAAGTCCACTGTGCATTAAGCTAAAAAGAAACCAAAAAAAAAAAATCATTCACTCCTTGTCCAAATTTGTCTCTCTAGTATTGATGATATTTTGGATGTAGATGCATCTTTTGGATGGTATGTTGAAATCCTTGAGTAAAATAAGCACACGGATTAACCATTCCCTCGGGACCCTGTGGCGTACCATATATATTTTGTATCTCACTCGATGTTTTAGCTTCACTCTGTTCTGTAACATTTTCCATTTGAGACATGACCGGGTTATTCTCCTCTTGAGAATTCATTGTCCAATTCCTGTAAAAGAAATACAAGTCAACTAAAGACGTGGATGATTCTGTGTATTATGTAACTGATAACCAAAGTCTATCCTCTCAGATGGACATTCCAGTGTTTAAATTTGAAGAAAACAACTACCAAGCTGGCATGGGTGAAAACCACATTTTGCTTAAGTCACCACCAACATACAGAACCAAAACAATTGTCATTATTTTTTAACCACAGTGACATAATTTGCAAAACTTTCCAATTGTACACACAAAGATTCCAACTTTGTTCTAATCTAGTGTTGATGATATTGTTATCTATTGATTAAGCTACTCTACAATCACACATACAAAGAAGACTCCTGAATATAACATCAACAAATAAGCTCTTTCAAAATAACATTGCATTCATAAACCTAAATCATTGGAATAAAGTCCGAGGAAAACATAAGAAATCAAATTTACAATTCCATATAAGGGGGAAAACATATCGTTTGTATCGTCAACATAAAATTAGCCGTCACCAAAATATTTTACATAAAAAATATTAATCCGTATGAAAATTACAAATGACAAGAATTACAAGTATTATATATGAAAATAAACGCAAAGACATTGTTAATAATAGATAATTTGAAAAAAAAAAAAAATAACCAAACCTGGGAATATGCACGAGAATTCGATTTGAGAAATTGAGATTTGTCTGTCGATTGTTCTATGCCAAGAAGAAGCGCGAATATGGAAATTTTGCGCAGAAGAAAAAGATCGAGAATTCGATTTGAGGAATTGAGATTTGTCTGTCGATTGTTCTATGCCAAGAAAAAGCGCGCATATGGAGATTTTGCGCAGAAGGAAAAGATCTGAGTTTTTCATACGGTTTTCTCCATTAAAAAAAATTAAAATTGTAAATAATTGATGACTAGGCAGGTTTGAGCTTGGGTCCAAAATAAACTCAAGAGTGAGCTTGGTCTTATTTTTTTATTGCCATGTAAGCTAGACCAAGTCCAATTTTAATTGCATTGAAAAATATTTTTAAATAGACTAAGTCTATTTTTTATGTGGCATGTGATATTTTGTTTAGCAGCATCGTTCTTTTCTTTTCTTTTTTTTCCTCTCATATCTCTCCTATACGTATAAGCAAAAATGTGAGGGAATCTATGCTCGACACTTTGGCATTTTTTGGACGTAAATGCCCTTAAATTTCAGCTCTTTTTACGAATGGTGCAACTAGTTTGACTGAATCATATAACTATGTTGTTATGAACTTACTGGAATGTCCTTGGAAGACATGTATGATGCCACGCACCGGGAAAACTGGTGAGACGGTAATCGTACAAGCAATTTTGTGGGCCTGCTCGTCACTGCTTGAGAGATTTCTTACATGGGAAATTTGGGTACGGCGTGTACTTCTGAACTTTTTGCTCATTCTTATCACCTTCTAGGATTTGGGTTTTCATTTTACGAAGTTCAGTCATAGAACTTGAGGATGGTCGTAGTGTGGTCTCCGTTTTTTGCTCTGATCTCGAATACATTTCGTTTGCTTTTTATTTTTTTTTTAAAAGATAGTTGTATATAGGAAAAAGCATGCACCAATAATCGTTTGGTTTTATGGTGTGCTTGGATGGGCTTCGTCTTTGCCGCTTGTGCGTATCTTTGTTGTCTTTCCTAATTTTATTTTAAATGTTGGGTGCATGTGCTTCAAATGTAGTGTGTTATTATTGAAGGTATATTTGGTGATTGTTGTGGTTTCACATCTAATTTGTGTTAGGAAATATTTAATTTTCTATATATAATCTAATTATGAGCAACATATTATATACAATTATATTAGTTATTCAATTAATTAATGAACTCAATTAAGTGATCTAAATAAAGTAGAGTCCATGGGCTACGTAAATTGATATGAGCTAATTGGGTGGATATCTAATATTATTAGGGTTAGATGATAATGGGTGGTCTACCCTAGTAGTATATAAAGACTCTCTTGGTTATGGTCCCCAATACACTAAATCAAACATAGTTCTCTTTTCTCCTCGTCGAAATTGAGAATGACGGTCCCATATGAGGAATAAGGCGATTTAGTTGAGGAAGACCACGCGTTCGTGATCCAGATCGTGTTCATGCCAACATTCATAGAGATGAGATCTAGAGATTGATGATAAGGTATTCCGCATCTAGACACAATCTCAATGGATTAGGTATTCTTTATAATCCTTATGATCTATAATCTAGAGCGATGTTGATTTTTCTAGAATTAAAGTATGTTCCAGGATAATTATTATTGAATTTACATTATGTGATTATAAATTTCTACAATTTGAACACCTTACACACAATGCTTTTATGTTGTATGAGCTGGTAAAAGTTCAGTGACGTGGGTCGGCTTGAGAAATTTTCCGTATAAGCTTCATGTTAATTCAGGTATTTTCCTTCAGACATGTGCTTTAAACATTGGCGGAGCCA